ATACATACATACATACATACATACATACATACATACATACATACATACATACATACATACATACATATATATATATATATATATATATATATATATATTCATGTCCATTGTGCTAAAGCTATAGGAAACACAAGAAATGATGAATGGCAAAGAGATTTTGGAAGTAAAATAAAACATTCTCTTTTTTAGATCATGCAGAAAAGATAATCTCCATAATTATAATAAAACACCGTCTTATTGAGACAATTATTGAACATACTCATTGAACATGTTATGTTAAAACAAGAATGGGCTAGGGCACTCTCATCCATATACACCTCAAAGAACTATCAGTGATTTTAAAATTGTGCAACGTGTCTCATGCACACGCAACTACAGTTTAATGCCATAGATGGCCACAAGGTCAAAATGGTGTTGCTCATCTCATTGCCTTAGGCTTTTCAAGGAAAGCTGCCGCCTATATAACAGAGCACAGTAGACAAGCAAGCTAGGAAAGAATAGGCTGTACTGACATTCCTGAAATAGCCTCTTGGTTGGAGACAAGTGCGCACTGCAAGGTTTCCATAAATGCAAATGAGGATCTTGACAATACAACGTTTGCACCTTGTAGGATACCTGCTGCCGTTTTATAAATATGCCATCACAAACCAGGGATAGTTGGGCTCAGGGATGTTTTAATGTCCTTCTTGCCCTAGCTCTACTGAATTGTCATTAAATGAGGAACTCCTCTCCCATTGATTCCTGGGGAGCAACAGAGATTTTTAAGCAAAGTTTGCAGAATTGCTCAATATTGGTTATGAGGAGGGATTTTATGCCATGTCTTTAACTTGGACGGTTCATTTCCACACTGCTTTAAGGATGCCAAGGGTCAATCTCTTCACTACAATTCATACAATAAGTCATTTGGATAATTGGAATTCTGGGCAGAAGCTTAAAAAAGAAATAATCAAGGCACCATCCATGAAGTAAAAAAAAAAAAACAGCAACCCAAGAATGAAAGATTCAAAGGGCAATTTGGGAAATCATGGGTCAAGAGCCATACATTCAGAAGAAGTTTGCTCATCCAATGGCTGTTGCCATTTTTTTCTTTTCTGGAGCCCCCACCCTTCTTCCAAGCATCCTTTATTTTTTTGACACAGTAAAGAAATACTTGGCTGCCTCCAAACAGTTGGCCCTTGGAGACACCCCTGGATAAACAACTGGGGAGAAGAAAACAGAATTCATCGTATTGTATATTATTGTATATTACTTCTGTTCCCCAAAGGTGCTCTATGCCTGTTGCCCATCGTCCCCTTCTAAAAAAAGGAAGGAACTATAATTTAAAAAAAGAGCTCTTAGATGAGGTTTGGATGGTGCAACTACCTTGCTTCATTTACAGACAGTTTACAGGAGAGTCAGCCTTGGTTATCTCCCATCTGTTAACCTTTCTTTAAAAAACACACACACACACACAAAACATTTCTTTACGCACATAGACACACCACACCTTGCAAAGGAAAGCCTAGAATGCCACAAATCTTTTGATTGCTAATCCCTTTTTTTCTTATTTCAATATTTTGATTGCTAATTTTTTTCCTTATCAAGTATCTTGGATCGATATTAAAATGGGGAAGTGTCCGTAGGATCAGTGGTTTTTTAGACTATGTGGTTTATTGGTTTTACATAAGCCCTCTCAAGAAAAAGGGTTTTGGGATTAATTAATTAATTTTTTATTTTATTTTTTTGATGGGGAGAAGCATTAAGGAAAAGGCTCACTAGTTTCAAGCCTTAAAGGTGGAGAGGGAGGGCGGGAGAGAGAGAAAGCGATTATCAAGTTGGTGATGAGGGTGTAGGGATGGTGTCTGCCTGCCTGCCTGTCTGTCAGTCAGTCAGTCAGTCAGTCATCTCAAGGCGGCTCTTACCTGGAGTTCATGCAGTCGCGAGAGCCCTCTTTTGCAGAAAAGGTCGGAGAAGAAGCTGAGAGCGCTGGGTCCCGGCATCTCCTCCAGAGTCTTGTGGCTTTTAATAACTTTCGATCGCGCCCCGAGGAGAGATTCCCCCCACAGCTCCGGAAAGAGCTTGGCGAGCAAGGATGCCTTCGTGGCCAGCTTGAGCGTCTGAGACATCTTTGCGCGGGGAAGTCTGAAGCCGCCGAGAACGTCGGGAAGCTGTGTCGCCGCGGCATCTTGGACCACCTGTATTTATCTCAGAGCAAGGCTGAGTCGGCTGTCAGTCAGGGCCCCGCCCCCGCGATGCGTCACCCGTCCAATCAGAGGCGGGCAATTGAAGGGCTTTCACCGTCTCGTGCACGTCTGGAGCCAGCCAAGTATTTCTTTGAGACTTCGGGCATAGTATCCTCTCTTCTCCTCTCCCTCTTCCCTTTCTCCTTCCTCCCTTCTCCCTTCTCCCTTTCTCTATTCTCCCTTTCTCCCTTCTACCTTCTCACTTTCTACCTTGTCCCTTTTTGCCTTCTCCCTTTCTCTATTCTCTCTTTCTCCCTTCTACCTTCTCACTTTCTACCTTGTCCCTTTTTGCCT